ACTTATAACGTTTTTCAAAAACACTACATTTACACTACTCTCACTATACTACAACAAAAACACTACAACTAACTACAACACTCTCTGCTCTGCTCTTCACTAAAATTTTTGTTTACCCAAAAATCTAACACATCTGCCTATTATACAAATTGTATAATTTAAATTTGTATATTTTAACCTGATAAAACTTTAAAAACAACGGGCTGTACTGCACAAAAAACCTTAAACCCCTTCGGTCCTTAGACCATGTTAAACTTACTGAAAATGCCAAACCAAACATCTCATAATTCCTCTGCGTAATGCAATTTTTTGGCAACACCACATTAATTTTAACCTTCAAATTATGCAATATCACGTTATCATCGTTGAACAGCAAGGGAACTACTAGATTCATAAATAAATTTTGTTCGATTCTAACTCCGATTACAACCCACATTAACAAACCCAAGAAATCATAGCTGTCCATCGTACTGTCTGTCAAATTTTTTGGGCATTCATCTTGTCCCCCAATTTCTACTCAATACCAGTCACAAACACCCGGGTAATACTTACTACGGTGAACTGGACGCAGTTAAAAAGTCCATGAATCACCCGTGCCGGCACTAACCATGGACACTCAGTGTTACGAAAATTGCTACCGGCCACGGTACTTAAAACAATTTTTTAATTTTCCATTTTCTCCATAAAAAGTGACAATTGGGTATATACAAGAAACAAAACAATCCAAATTTTCCTAATCTCCTCAAAAGCCAATAACACTCCTGGTTATAATATAAAAAAAAAAAGTTTTCTACTACTACAACTACTACTACTCTCTACCTGCACTGCTCTACTCTACTACAAACTACTACTTTTTCCTACTACTACTACTAAAACTACTACTACTACCTACTACTCACTGCTACTACTACTACAAACTACTACTACTACTACTGCAAACTGCTACTACTACAACTACACCACTACTAACACTGCTCACTGCTCTACTACTACTACTCTACAACTACAATACTACTACAAACTACTACTACAAACTGCCCTACTGCACTACTACTAATAATACTACTACTAACCTACTACTACTACTGCTACTGCTACTACACTACTACTACTACTCTACTACTACTACTCCCTACTACTATTTATACTTCCCACTTCTCTGCTTTTTCTTCTCTTCTTCTTCTATTTCTTTTTCTCTTTCTTCTTCTTCTCTTCTTCCTTCTTTTTCTTCTTCTCTTCTTCTTCTTCTTCTTCTTCTTCGTCTTCTCATCTTCTTCTGCTTCTTCTTCTCCTTTCTTCTTCTTCTTCTCTTCTTCTGCTTCTCCTTCTTCTTCTCTTCTTCCTTTTTCCCTTCTTTTCTTCTTCTTCTCTCTTCTGCTTCTTCTTTTCTTCTTGTTCTGTTTCTTCTTCCTCTTTCTTTCTTCTTCTTCTTCCTCTATCTTCTTCTTTTTCTTCTTCTTCTCTTCTTCTTCTTCTCTTCCTCTTTTTCTTCTTCTTCTTCTTTCCTTCTTTTTCTTCTTCTTTTTCTTCTTCTTCCTCTTCTCTTCTTCTTTTTCTTCTTCTCCTCTTTTTTCTTCTTCTTCTTCTTCTTCTCTTCTTCTTCTTCTTCTTCTTCTTCTTCTTCTTCTTCTTTTTTCTCTTCTTCTTTTTTCTTCTTCTTCTTCTTCTTTTTCTTCTTTTCTTCTATTTTTCTTCTTCTTTCTCTTCTTTTCTTCTTCTTCTTTTTCTTCTTTCTTCTTCTTCTTTCTTTTCTTTCCTTCTTCTTCTTCTTCTTCTTCTTCTCTTCTTCTTCTTCCTTCTTCTTCTTCTTCCTTCTTTCTTCTTCTTCTTCTTCTTCTTTCGCATGCTATTTCATTACTTTTTAACAAGTCACTAGAAACTAGCACCTTCCCGACACTACTCAAGACAGCAAGGGTTACACCAATACATAAAGATGGTGACCCTACAGATTTAAACAACTATAGGCCAATACCAAACTTGCCATTGCTATCCAAAATCTTTGAGAAACTCGTGGACAGGAGACTATATTCATTTATAACGGCACAAAACATACTCAACCCCTGTCAAACATACTCAACCCCATTCTGATTTCTCCCCATTTATGCAAACTCTCTGCTGCCTATTTGTCAACAATGTCTCTATCCAGGAAAAAATTACCCAGGAAAAAATTTCTCCTATTCCGTGTGCCTTAAGTTTTCTCAATAACTTCTGATGTGGAACTCTGTCGAGGCCTTACTGAAGTCCATATACACAATATCATATTTATTACCTCCTCCAATACCTTAGTGAAGAAAGTAAATTCGTAAGACAGGAACGCCCCTTTGTAAAACCGTGCTGAGATTCATTAATCAATTTATGCCTTTCGAGATGGCTACGAATTGCTTCGGCAATTATTAATCCATAAATTTTCCCACTATGGAGGTAAGGCTTATTGGTCTATAGTTCGAAGCTAAGACCCTGTCACCTGCCTTGTAAATAGGTATTATATTTGCCATTTTCC